TATATATTTATTTTATTTTATTTTATTTATTTATTATTATTATTATTTTTTATTTTTTATTTTTAATTATACCAATCCGGGGGGGTTTGCTATCCAACCTATGTTCACCCTTGAGGCCCCAAAACCCTGTCCTCTCTTTTTGGGACCTTTGGTCACCTGGGAAACTAGGTGCCTGCCTTGCCACATAGGAGGCCAAATCCAACATCTTAAACACATTGTACAGTTTATCCCAAAAGAATTACTTGTTCTGTTAAACAAACTTTTTACATGTACGAATTCCTCATTGATTTATTTATTCCATTTTTTGGATAAATAACTCCTTCCTGCATAATTTTATTTTTTTATTCCTTTGGTATTGGAACATTGAGGCCTATCATTACTTAGTCTCAGACCGATGCCTAAGGCTTACATGTGTATTGTTGTGTGCATGCACGGTGCATGCCAGCATGGCATATTGGAGCCTGATTAACAAAAGCAAGTGCATCAAAGGTGTCATGCACAAGTTATGGTGGCCGTATGTGGTTTGACTCGTGTATATTACGCATCGACACTTTTGAGTATACTATCTTCAAGTAATATGTCTATTCACTGCAACTGTCTGTATTTTGACCATTGGAAGTTGAGCCCAGCCCATGCATGTCATGCGTGAACACTTTCTGGAGCTAAACCTGATCTTGACTGTTGGAACTCAATACTGTTCACTGCTATAGATGACTTTCTATGAAGGGAGAGTTTAACTATCCTAACCTTTTCTCCTATGTTTTAGACTTGCATGATTTTTCCATCTTAATTTTTTATTTTTTTTTCTTTGGAGAAATACATTTAATTTTTGTTTTCTAGGATGACTTTACCGTATATTACATATTCACTGCATGATTCTGAAAATATTTGAATGTCCTGAAATTCATCCAAGAAGTGATTACATGGCATCATACTGGGCTTGAGGTATTGGAGATAAATTCCCGCACTGTTGCACCTATGTAGATATCCTAGAGGGGTTTCAATTGTCTTTAAAGCAGTATACTATCTACATATTTTTTGATCTACAAATATGAGACAGCTTGACTGGGCTTTAGCATCATGCAAAGTCATGAATCAACACCATGTGAAGTTCAGTTTTCGTTCAACAGGAATGACAAAGAGATGCTCTTCATTAACAAAACAAAGAGTTGTATGTTCTCCGATATACCATGTCCATTGACTTCTAATTTGTTTTCCTTTGCAGGAGAATACTGCATACGAACCTGAGCACACCAAAAATGGGAGAAAAATACTTGCACATGCCATGGATATATTTAAAATGCTGTGAAGCTCTATTGTTTGACCTGTACTCATCAATTCAGAAGTGATAGGATTGTCGGATAACTTCAAAGAAATTACAAAACAAATTTGAGCAATTAGTTCAAAACGCAGCAGAGGTTGAAACCAAAGAAGAAAAATGTTTTGTGTGGGGGAAGACAGGCTACATTTCGCAAGAGGTTGCTGATACGAAGCAATGAAACGAAGCAAAAGATGACCAGAGAAAAGTATGTTGCATTATTTCAAAAGTGAACACAATGGGAAATGAGCAGTGAGAGGGACTGGGGATGGACTGTGGAGTTGTTAAAATTTTCCAAACGATAATAGCATAATATGTGAAGAATCCAACGAAATTTTTAGGATTGGATATACGTTCTACATGGGTACAGAAGAAGTAGAAAAGAGAACTCAAACATGGAGGTTTAGTTTTAGAAACCCCTCGAGGATGTACGCACTGGGTTCTTGAATAATGCTCGAGGAAAATGTGGTTTGTGGATTTTCATCTCAATTTCCTCTTGTTGAAGTACGGAAAATTTTGACATTTAACTTGTTTGGTTGGAGTATAGATTTATGTTAGATTTAGTATTGAGTTCAATACAAGGTTTACAAAAATGCAGATTCAGATCAGAACTGGCCGATCTAGATTGGGAATCATTGGGGGCGGACCAGGGACGGCTAAATATTGGGAACTAGCTGGTTCCCCTCATGAGATAGCCAGTTCTGTTAGAGAAGCGGTCAGAATGAGCACCCTTTTATATTTTTTTTATTTTTTCAATTTTTAGTTTTTTAATGATCCAAATTGTCGATTTGCTGAACCAACTACCATGAATGAACAGTATCTTTATATCGTTGATTATGGCTGATATTTTGCATGCTGGATTAAGTCATAAATTTTTGTTCAATCAGAAATTCAGTGTAATTATTATGAATTCAACGTAGTAGCCAATGTCAAGTATCAAAGATAAAAAACCCCTTTCCTGACATATATGAAAAAAAAGTGAGGTTTTGAGATTCTTAATTGAATTTATAGCTTCGAGACTGTTAATTTGAAGCTCTTGACTGTTGTGCTCATTGCTTTCGTTGGGTGGATTTCTATGAGAATAAGGATCTGTCTGGTGCATTCATCATTGATCACTTTATATGAGCGCATGCGTGCTCCCAGTGCAGCACGCTGTATTCATTAAAAATATATGACTGAGAACTTGCAAAGATTATGCATATGGTATGTCTACCTTAATGGGCACTGTCCTGAATACACATTATGGTAACTAAGCACCTTATTAAAAATTTTGGCACCTTTACCTTCAGCGAAAGTTCAAGTTCAAACAACTCCCTCCACTATTTATCATAATAATTAATTGGGAAATTTAGATAAGAATCTCAATATATTTTCGATACTTAGTGTCTCTATATTTTTATGGAAAAAATTTATATAAGTGCGAGGCTCTAAACAATCAAATTAGGCGTACCTCAAAATTTTCAGTAGAAGAGGTTGTTTTGAGGTCCAAATATCCTCAAATTGATCATCTTGACCTCAAGATGCATGTACATGAGGAAAAAATTCAAGTTTAGAAAATAGTGCGTCTTGTAATGTATTTTTGGACGGTCAATTTTCAAGATTTTTAAGTTTTTATTGTTTAAGCTTTAAATTTTATAATTAGAAATGAAAATATATTTTAAGGCTATCACAAAGATATATCTTTAAGTTTTATACAAACCACACCCATTTTTTTATTTCATACTCAAGTTCTATTTTTTTGATCGGGGAGACCCGAAACGGAGTGGTGCATGTTGTTCTTAGATATATCTAGTTTTGATCGATGAGACCCAAAACGGCCTCAACACAAAGTTAGAATTTTGGAGGGATGCTCTAGAATCTAAATGTTTTAAAATTAGCCGGACTAAGACAAAATATGTGGAATGCAAGTTTAGTAATAAGAGGAGGAAAATAGAGAAATCGAAGAAGATGTTGCACACAGAATTAGAGCTGGGTGGACGACTGCATACCAATAAAGCTGAAAGGTAAGTTCTATAGGACAACGGTGAGACCAATTTTGTTCTATAGGGTGGAATGTTGAGCGAATAAAAATAATATACCTATAGAATGAGTGTAGCGAAGATGAGGATGTTGAGATAGATGAGTGTCAAAACAATAAGAGAGAGAATTTGAAATGAATCCATTCAGGAGAATTTAGGTGTGGCACCAATAGAAGATAAGAAGAGAGAGAGTAGATTTAGGTGGGCTAGCCATGTGTGGCACCGACCAAGTACAACACCTGTTAGGAAGAGCAAGTTAGTTCAAGTGGAAGGATGAAAAGAGACAAGGGGTAGATCCAAAAGGACGTGATTAGAATTAGTCCGAAAAGATATAGGGATTTATGGCTTCACTGAGTGTATAACCTTTAATAGGGCAGAATGACAAACCATAATTTGTGTAGCCTACCTCAATTAATTGAAAAAAAGCTATGATGATGATAATGATGATGACTCAAATTCTATTTTTTTTTATACCCCTTTAAAAAAAAAAAAAGAGAAAAGAAAAACAGGTTGACATCCAATTGTCTATTTTCAGAAAATAGCTAGTATAGTCTGCTCCCTCGAGAGGACATCCTACATTTAGTTCCTCTAAATGGGCAACTTGGTCTTTTATTCAACTAAGAGTACAATTTCTTCCCATGGGATCACACTTTACTGCCTCTTTTTCAAAAAACTAAATGGGTTCTGACCAATGTTTGACTAAGAAAAGAAACCCGGTTTGGATTTTAGATGTCCAAACTAAATGTAGTTGGAAATGAAAAACATGAAAAAGGCGAGACCTGATCATAAAACAGAAAATATGTGGAAAATTTTTTAAATACTAAAAAAATAATTCGTTTTAAAAATTTCCCTGGTATGTTTGAAACAAATGAAAGATTGTTGGACATTTTATTTCATGAAATCTATTGTTGATGGCAAAAGTCTTGTTTTTCTTTTTTTAATGAAAGTTACTTCAATTATCAATAAAAGGAGTACATCTCTTAAAAAGCAAACGTAAAAGAACACAAAGATTTAGAAGAGAGACACCAGAATCTCATTCCCAAAAAGCCCCCTGGCTTATCAGCATCTCCTTTCAAAAGTTCCATTTATCCCACGTGAACTCTGTAACTTTTTTCCTATAAAAAAAAAGTCACATATAAGGTTTTTGCGTTCTCTAAGGGTTGGAAAGATCTCATTGGGAATTATTGGAGCACCTGCATTTTGTGGGTATTATTAAATTAGGATAAATGGAGTGGGTGTGTAGCAGTGCAATGTATGCACAGTTGCAACTGCTTCACGAGGTTGTAATTGCCATTATTACTACGTAACAACTACCAGACATATCAATACAGTTTTTCATGACAACTTTTGAAGCATTGAAGATATCATGATGGGGAACCGCCTTTTTATATGTGTGGGTGATAGAGACAGAGAAAGAGAAAGATTTCTATATGTTATTCTTGATCTATTTGTGTATTTTAGTCTCCATTAGAGAGTGATTCTATAAGAGAGAGGGTAGCATTTTTAACCTATTTGTATATTGTAGATTGTTATTCCCATGATAACATGTCATAATGTTAGAATTAGCCATTGAGCATTTGATCTTGATCGTATAGATAGTTTGGAATGTATATCATGTTTGACTTTTATTTTTAATTTTGTAAATCATTTTGACATGAAATTTTGGATGCTCTTATTTCTTTGGTATTAACTTAATAAAAATAAAAAGATATTTTTGATAAAAAGAAGTAGTCGAAATGATCATGTAATTGAATGCATATTTTGATCATTTTATTTTATAGTTACTTTTATTTTTATTAGGTACACCCTTATAAGGAGTGAGCACCACTCAAATTTCATATCTAAATGGTTTATAAAAAATGATTAGAAACAAAACAATATTGGGTTTGACTTGTTACTGATGATAGAGCTCCCATCTATTGTTTAGTGATGATGTTTCATTTGGGTAGTGGTCTAATGCCATGGGTTTATCATAGTATAATACAACCATATTTCTAGAAAACCATATTCGTAGTATTTGTATGACTCAAAATTTTTCACACACACTCTCTTCATCTCAATAATCAATCCCAAAATAAAAAAAAGTTCAATTTGAAGTCTAGATATGGTCAAAATGAGTCCCCTCCAACAGCGTATCTAGACCATTAATTTGGTGAATTTCAAGATCTTAGCCTTTATAAACGCAAAATCATTTTTTTCATTTTTAACATTGTTCATCTAATATTAATAAATCGATCTAAAAAAAATTGGAAAAGCAAAAATCCTTCTAAGGCCTAGATCTATGAATCTTATCAAAATAGACGGCCTATGTTAATTGGGTTAAAAAATTACTTTCTAAGTTGTGTTTTCAATTTTTTTTTTTTTGGTGATTGTTCATTGGAATGAAAAGAGTGTACATTTAAAAATTAGGATCAAACAAACAGCCCTAACATAGCTCTTGAAAGTTGTTGCATTATATTACTATAGAACCGTTGCATGAATCATTCCCGGTTTCATTTTGGTGGAAAATTCCTGATTAGCTGAAAACATTTAAGGGAGATATGTAATGATGCTGGGAAAGAATCATATTTGTAGAAAAGACAAATGTGTAATCTTTTTGTCTCTTTCCCATTCTTGTAGAAAAACAAATGTGTAATCTTTTTGTCTTGGTTTTCCCTTGGGAACCTTCTATATATGTGAGGGGCTAATCCTCCTCTTAACTGAAATTATTGAAGCAAAGGTTAAGGGATGGAATTCCATATTGGAAAAGCTGGAGGATAATCATGAGTATCCCTTATGTTTTTCTGGCCAATAGGCTTAGACAGGTGCTAGTGTTCCTAATACCCAGGAGAACCTAGAATGCAAATGGTAAAACAGTCGCGTTTCTTATGGCCTGTTCAATCAATAAGGCCAGCTGAGTTTTTTTGGGATTTTAATATATGTTATTTAAAGGGTGCGCGATGTCGATGAACGACTCTAAAAGGGCAAGTGGAAGGCCCAAAAAGATATGGATGAAAAAAGTAATAAGAGATATGGTGACTTATGCTTTGGCTGAGGTAGGGCCTTTGATAGAGTAGAATGGAGGAATAGGACTCGTGTAGCAGCTCCAAATAGTATGAATAAGGTTCGGATGATGATGCTTTGAAAGTGCATGAGGCCCAAGGTCTCAAAGCATAGCAAAGCTGAATTTATAAAGTCCATATTGTTAATGAAAAGCTGGAGACTAACCATGAGTATCCGTTGCGATGTTCTGGCCAATAGGCTTAGATCTGTGCTGCTATTGTCTATTAATTTGGATTGAGGATTCCATCCTTAGATCGAGGGGGGATTTTGAAAAAAATAAAAAAGATGGGTTGACATACTTTTGTAATTTTTGCCTATAAGTAAATCATTTTGTATTTTAGAACAAAATTTAAGGTGTATATGTAAATCACTCCATCATTAATACGTTGCAAATAGCATCTGTCGTTAGCCCAATGTGACATTGAGCCAACGATTGCTTGTCTGTAATTCATTCAATTTAACTATAACTCTATATTGGGTAAACGATCCAAGGGATCAACAATTATATGTCATGTTGCATCATCCATTAATTTGATAAAAATTCTTAACAACCATGTTTTGGCAGTTAACCACCAATGCACTTCTTCATGATTGCCTGTGACACCTATCTAATTCTGAGGGCAAACGATTGCATGTTCGTATTGTTATATAATTATAACTCGAAACATCGATATTAATCGCTTCCATTAAGAGCAATTATTTCAATCCAGAAACTCGAAACGTCGACGTTAACCGTTTGCATTAAAGAGCAATTATTTTGATGTAGAAACAT